TCTTGAGGTTATTTTATGCAATAGCAGCAAACATTCAAGTGAGGTAATTCCTTCTGTCTTAATTGGAATATTTCCAATCATTAAAGTGGCATTAAACCCTCAGATTTTTTAACATAAACCAATACTGTAATGTGTGCCTTACTGTAATCCATGGTAGTTTCCCTTCTCTTTGCTGCTCTTCCTTTTTAAATCCTTATCTCTTCTCATGCTGGGGGAGAACTTCCCTTTGCAGCTGAGTGCCTCTTCCTGTAGTGCTGGCTCAGGTTGTGAACCTGCACACAGACACCATGTATCCATTCCAGAGACAAGGCAGTCTGCTGCGAAACAGAAGTTCTGCCCAGCATGAGAAGAGATACAGATTTAAAGAGAAGGGAAACTACCATGGATTACAGTAAGGCACACATTACAGTATTGGTTTATGTTTAAAAATCTGAGGGTTTATTGTCACTTTAAATCCTACAGAATCACTTGTGTAGGAAGAATGGAACTAGGTGAGGAATGTGGGTGCTCGTGAGCAGCTGACTTCAATGGGCTGCAATTTGAGTTGGCTTTGCTCTGTCTATGCATGCTTTTAGAGGATCTTACAGCAGAGCTGACACACATCTACACCAGCAAAGCTTCTACAGCTAATGCAACGCCAGAGACACCCTGCAAGTGGTCCAGAGTCTGTCCACTGCTCTACTCTGCTGTTTCCCAGGCATGTATACGGGAAACACACGTGGTTGCCACAGACTAAGTGAGTGCCGTATCCAACAACAACCAGGGCTCTCTCTAGTCCAGCTGTCTACTCTACATAGCATGAGGCCTTGGGCAAAACCTGTTGCAGCAGTTAAACCCCAGATTCCTCCAAAGGCCTTCCTGTAGCAATCAATAGTTGCCCTTGTTGCCATGGCGCCCTGTGCGGCCGCACTGCTCGCACGCCCCTAAGGCCGGCCCTGCCTTTAACTTTCCTGTCATCTGCTATTGAAAGTATAACACTACTTGCATTTGATACTGCTAGAGTGCCTTAATAAGTTAAGATTAATACTCCTTAACATTCAACTTTTTTCATTTTGGCTGCCACACAACTCTTGGCAGAGATTTAGCACTCATCACACGAGTTGCTGGACAACCTAGATCAGTGGTGGCGAACCTTGGCACTCCAGCTGTGCCAAAACTACAAATCCCAAGATGCATCTGCCTCTGGGAGTTATGTCTGTGGCTGTCAGAGCCTTGCAATGCCTCATGGGACTTGTAGTTCCAAAACAGCTGGAATGCCAAGGTTCGCCATCACTGACCTAGATAATTCGGCTGACAGCATACCTGCCGACCAGTCAAACTACCAGGTTGAGATATCCTGTCAAGATTCCACCTTGCAAGAGAAATTGAAACTTCTCTTATAGAGAGAACTAAATGCTGCAACTGACAAACTCACTGTAAAACTGACCAGGGAAATCCGAGACCTGAGTACCTGAATCAACGACTTAGAACACAAATCGATGATACAATATCTGTCATACACTCTCAGATTTTGAGCCCTGATAATATGGGGTGGAGCTTAACCCCCAAAATGCGTGGCCTCTGTATTTCATTTATGTGTGGAATAAACCTTTTTTCGGACTATTTTTTTCAATATATACTGTGCTTCAATTATATCTTTCCAATTTCCACCACAACCCAAGGTTGATTATATATGTGTCAGCAACAAGTATATGGTGTAGACCCTGAAATAAAAAAAACCTAGCAGAAGAAAAAAAAAACATGCCCCCAAAAAATTAGCCCACGCTCTTATAGTGAGGGGGCTGGTTTACATTAAGCCCCCACTACTGGCCCTCCTAGGTCAGTTAACCCCTTCACGACTGGAGACTTACACTGTGCGTCTCCATCGTGAGGTGCCCAAATGACAGCTCACATGCACTGTACATGAGCAGCTATTCAGCGTTTTGAAATGCCGGTAACCACTGAGAATCAGCGGTTACCATTCATTATTGGATGCCTCCGTATTCCATATACCTTTTATATGAAAAGGTGCTATTCATATAAAGGTGCTATTCATATGTATATATACATTCAGTGACTCTCTCAAAGATGCCCAGGTATGCTTCAACATCATTATGCAGGGATATTTTACATAAAGCCCTCTGTGGCAGCTGTTGAGTCAAGGAAGTCAGCCCCTACACCATCATCTGCCTCTCTAGCAGGGCCTGCATGCATGTGTCTGCTGTAGCAGCCACTGTCAGAACACAAAACCGTGGGGATTCCTCGATCAAAGCTAGTAAGCGTTGGAGGAATCTGTTCTGTTTTTTTTTTCTTTCCGCCCACAGGTTGAATAAAAAAAAAAAAAAAATAGAAGTGTTTGGCCAGCTTTACGGTGATTATTGCCATTATACAAATAACCTGCCAATGTATTACTCATAGGCAAAAACATTTTTGTGATAGCTCAGGGAGAAAACACAATATAATGATCTTTGTTACATGTTCCACCACTTAAGTCATCTATGAGCTACAGTGTCCTTGTGCATTGATGTATGTGGGACGAACCATTAGATCACTGTGAATCTGCAAAGGGGAGCATCACAGACTTATAGAGGAAAAGAGCGATAGTCAGTGTACCTATACATTTTATAGATTCACTCAATGGTGATGTCTCTGGCCTCAAGCCTGAAAGCATTTCTCTAACAATACTGGAAAATTGAAGATTTAAAAAAGTTTGTCATCAGGAGACCTTTTGGAATTACACTCTTGGCACCCTGTCCCCGGGTGGACTTAAAGAGGAGTTAGAAAGAAGTATCATTCTATCAAAGAATTTATTAAATTATTATAATCAAAGAAAAAACAAAATTAAACTGTAGTGGATAAAAATAATAATATTATATCATCACATTTTAATACCATCTTCAGCCAAATCCCCTTGATGGTGTAGACCCTGAAATAAAAAAAACTAGCAAAAGAAAAAAAAACATACCCCCAAATGTATGTATTTACAGTATGTGTATGTCTGTGCATATTTGTACATGGGTATGCACATGGAATAATTTTATAATCAACACATTTTTTAAACAAATTTAAAAAAACAAAAAACAACTTTATTAACTTTTATAGAAATGTTTTCATTTGTATTTCATAAAGAATATATGTACAACTAGTTTGTTTGTGCTTTATTGGCTTGCATATTCAAAAACTGAAAAATTGGGGGAAAAAACAATAGTTTTTTTCCAAAGCTGTTTGTTTTTTTCCTGGAAAAATTTTAATAAAAAAAAAAGAGTGTGGAATATGTTCTTTTACAATGATAAATAATATATATTTGACATGGTATTCAAACTATATAACATGAAGACCTTAATGAAAGTGTTCTAAGGCTTTATGTAAAGTCTTACATTTTTGCACATTCTCTCAGCTGAAGACAAGAAAATCCTGGAATACAATTCAAGTAACATTGTACTTCTCAATACAGTTCTTAAACTCAAAAAGAAATATGCATTTCTGCCACTAGAGTCACTGCAGAGGAAAGGTTCCAGTTTAGTTAGCTTGTGGGCTCTATTTGTACTTCATACAGTTAGGTGATTGTTGGTATGATAGTAGATGATAGTTTCTGTCCTCTCAGGCCTTAATTAACAGGTAAGAGGGTACATTTGTCTGACTAATTTATCTTTATAACCTCTAAAAGATTCCTAAGAATGTTCTACACCATCACAGTATAATGTTAACCTATTGTCTGGTGAGTAAATTTGTTTTTTTTCCTCCTCAGTAAAATGGTGAGACCAACATCTAGAATTTGGAAACATTTCTGCAGTGCAACTTCTGCTGAGAGCAAAGCTGCAATTTGCAAATGTGTTCTTGCTTCTCTTGCTTCTGCTTGCTCTGTCGCCTCCAGTTTTGATATACCGTATATACGCGAGTATAAGTTAGGCTTATACTCGAGTCAATATTTTTTCCCAGTTCTTTGTGGTAAAATTAGGTACCTCGGCTTATATTCGGGTCGGCTTATACTCGAGTATATACGGTATTCCTCCCAAGGCGTCATGTACACACCTTGTGAAATATATGACGTGTAAATGTAATGTGTGATTTTTATTCAATTATTTATTTAGCATTGGATCTAAATTTCTAAATTTAAAAAAATTATACAGTTACATATAAATTAATTATTTAAACATTATCACATAACAGGTCTGTAATTAAAAAAAAGATTGTAATGGAAAGGATAGTCTTTTCAACCAGTCCCATTAAAGCTGACCTTTACACTCAAAAATCAAAATCTACCAATATATGATGATCAATAATAACCTAATCATGTCAGGCGAAAAATGCTGACATTTTGATGTACTTACACTTGCAGAGCATTCACTTCCTGCTTTGAAAGGGCAAAAATGACATTAGTGTGCCAAAGCAAGGCACACTAGGATTTCCTCGTCACTGAAGTTAAATTTTGTTCATGAAAAAAACAAAGAAGAAAATAGCTGTGAGATTTCACGAAATCTCGCAGTCCTGTTTCTTCTTGTCACGTTATACGAAATGCGCGAGAGTAGCAGCGCATCGTCAGAAGGGGGTGTGGCCATGGAACTTAGTGAAGCTGGCGTGGGAATTTTTCTCGATGACAGCAGACGAAATCCAGGAGAGCAGAGCATTTGCATTCGCCCTCTTCAAAAATGTCTGCCAGCTATTTTACAGGAACGTAATCTAAAATACCCAAAAAAGTTATTTATAAATAATAAACAGCATTGTTAATGTGTTTATTTGAATAAGTGTATGCTAATGCATATGTGAATGTTTCTTTATGAATTTCATATTAGATGTGAAGGTCCACTTTAAGTACCGTGTAGTAGATTTCAGGTAAGCTTATGTTTAAGCAGCCCATAGTTGTATATGGCGGTAAAAGTGGACTGGTGGCTGTAGATTACTAAACAGCCATCTTCTGTACATGAGAAAGAGTCCAACTCCTATCTTCGAAAAAATATTCTTCAGGCCAATAGAAAAACACATATTAGCGTACATTCATGGTATATAAAGGTTTAACTCACCGGCAGTCCTGTCAGGCGGTTGTGTTGAAGGTAGAGGTAGCGCAGAGAATGGAGGCCTCGGAACAGGTCAGCTGGCAGCCTGTGGATATTACATTGATACAAGTGCAGGGAGAGCAAATAATTCAAACCACTGAAAGTATCTGGCTGTAGAGGTGGCAAATATGGGTTTTTTCCAAGATCCAACTCTTCCAAATGCTCCAGACCCTGGAACGTCCCAGGACGCAGGACTGAGATACGATTTGAGAATAGCCAAAGTACAGATGTGAAAGGAGAAAAAAGTCCAGGGCCTAATTCTGAGATCTGGTTGTTCTGCAGGAAGACCCGCCGGGCCTGGTTAGGTAGAGGTGATGGGACACGGGACAGGTTGTGCGACTGGCAGCTAGCTGTCGGAGGTGAGGGGTAGCAAGTGCAAAGGGAAGGGCAAGGGGAGAGAGAGAAAGGATAAGAACGTGACAGGGGAAGGAGGAGGAGAAAACTTAGGGGGTACAGGAGGAAGCCTTGAGTGGAGACCAGAAGATAGAGGGAATGAAACAACCAGCAGAATGATGAGACAAATGAAATCAGGAGAAAAAAAAGCAGGATGAGAGCAATAAAAAAAAACAGTTAATACCAAAACTGACTTTGTATATTAAAGAACACATTTTAAATTGAACTGTCTTCTTAAATCTTCTTAAACATCAGAACCTAATTTGCAGTTAAAAAATATTTGACCCCAGAAATGCTTGTCCTGGGAAATGCCCCTGATACTGGCTATAGGCACAACAAAAATTCTAGTTTTACTGCATATGAACGTTAAAATCAATTACTGAACTGAAATCAGTATTCAGGAAAAACTGCGACTATGCTAACTAGAGAACAATTTTAAAGGATAAATGTACTTTTGTCACAGTTAAAATGCCAAACACCCACTCTGTCAGCAAGCCCCAATGTGTTCCTATTACCTATCCACGATCAACATAGATCTTTGCTCTGGGGCCATTGGGTTCTGCACGGCCTCTTCACAAAAACTCTGCTAGCCAGGCCATGCATGCACAGTAGATTCCCTATTGATACCTATGGCAAACTCACTTATTTTTGGACTTAAATCAACAGGCCTTCTTTGGAAATTCATATGGTATCTATGGTATGTGCAGAACAGCGAAGAGGCTATGCCAAACCCTGTAGCCCCACAGTGATACCCTGTAGCCCCACAGTGACAAAGTCCATCGATGGGTAAGTGGAACACCGAGAGGGGGGGGAGACACTGGCATTTTAACGATAACTGTACTAAAAATACAGTTATCCTTTAAATGGTCTATTACTGTGCTTCTGTGTGGGATTCCAGCCTCTTGTCGCATAATTTTCTTTTGTAATTAAATTAGAATTTTCCAGAATATGCATATTCAGGTCCTTTTAAAAAATAAGAGTATTTACAACCATAAGAAATTAGCTGGGGGGAAAAGCTGTACAAATAAGTATGCAGAGTTGAGAATTATTGGTCACTCAGTGGGTAGGCTGAGTTCTTTAAGTCAATATAAATGCAAATGCCCTAGCACTATAGCAGTGTCCCGAGAGACTTTACCATTTTGTGAGTATTGCATTCTAAAGGAGGACAAATAAATAAGGTCTTCAAAAAAGTGCTCATCACTGATTAATGGCATAGACACACTTAGGACTTGGTGGTTTTCCTTTTGTGTGAGTCCACAAGTGGCTTAACATGAAAATATTGTTAGTATTAATCATAATGGCAGTTAATCCTTTGTTAAACATCAGATTAAAGGAGAACTATGGGGTCAGTGTTTTTCCCCATAGTTCTCCTTAGGGTAACGGGAGGACACAAACTAGCGTCCTCCCGTTACCCTAAGCTCAGTATACTGCTGCAGACCTCACCAATCAATCCAAGGATCGTGCCTCCTCACACAGCCTCCTCCCTACAGAAAGGTAAGCAGGAGAGGGGGCTCTGTATTACAATTTACATGTTGGTGTGCGGGGGGGACTGGGGCTGTGTTATTTTATATGTGGTGTGGAGGGGGTATTTTTTGTGTATGTACAGGGGGGGG